TTAATAGTGTTGTATCTAGGCATTATATTGTCCTATCCTAACAAACATCAATAGAAAGCTTATTTATTCAGCTTTCAGATGATGCATAAATCTCAATTTCAAAAAAATTGACCCTTATGGTTTTGTGGTCCAGGGTCACATATACAGTAATGGAAATTAATTCTGAGCTCTGCTTAAGATAATAGTAAACAGTTTTATTACATTATTAGTGTTTTTAAAGATTAATTTTACAGGAATTAAATGGATAGTTTACCCAAAAAATTTAAATTTTGTCATCATTCACGCACCATCATGTCGTTCCAAACCTGTATGAGTTTCTTTATTATGTTGACCATAAAAGAAGATATTTTGAAGAATGCTGGTAATCAAACAGCTGACGGTCCCCATTGACTTCCCTTCCATAGTATTTCTTTCCCTACGATGGAAATCAATGGGGACCAACAACTGTTTGGTCCTTCAAAATTCTTCAAAATATCTTCTTTTGTGTTGAACATAAAGAAACTTAAACAGGTTTGGAACGACATAAGGGTGAATAATTGATGACAAAATTAAAATTTTTGGCAGAACTATTACTTTAAGATGGCAGTAAAAGTAATCTGTCAAAATCAGGGGGAATGGGAATGTAAAATGCCGAATATATCCAATTTAATTCATCATAATCCTCGAAAAAACATGTAGATTAAATGAGAAATTATTATAAAAGTAAATATACACTCTATATACACACAAATACACTCTATACACAATTATATAAATTGTTCTGCAAATGAAACACTTGCCAAACACATACACAAACACACACATATATATATATATATATATACACATGTCAAGATCTGTGCAGTAATGTTCAGAGAAGTTTTTTTTTTTATTATTCCTTGTGCATTATTTCTTTGCTGCTAATTCAAACTTGCACAGGCCTAAAGAAGTCACTAATGAAATAAGAGAACCAAACACTGCCAAGAGGCTGCAATTAAGCTGACTGTTTTAACAGCAAACCAAATATTCTGAAACCGTACTCCATCTCTTTCACAAAGATTTTTGAATATTTAGCAACTCTGTATTTGAGCCAGCTAGTGAAGTCACTGGTCTCAGTGTGATTCAACACCTCTGCCTGCCAGAGCTGGCTGCTGCGTGGAACAGCAGCAGAGTGACTCAGAGTCCAACTCCATTTGAGAAATTACAAGGGCCATCAGCAGACTTAAAATAAGCCTCGGACATGCTGAGCCAGCAGCCACCTCAGATCTCAATCGCAATAGAGGATCTCTTATCAGACAGCATTTGCGCCGCTGGCTGGAATAACGAAGACCGGGCAGCGGCGATGGCCTCTAATTTATTTCCGATGGATCAGGAGGTATGCTAGATATAATTAGAGACAGGACTGACGATACAGATGCTCTAACTTGAATCTGTCCATCATGTACTCCATATTACCGTTTTATCCAGTGCCTTAACTAAGGGCACAATGATGGTAGATCATGAATCGGTCATTGTGGGATTTGAACCTACAACCTTCAGTTACCAGTCTACTTGATGCCAAAACTATAATGGAGTGTGAGAGTACAGATGTACCTGTATCACTTCCTGTGACATGCTCATTATGGATCTGCTGAAAGCCTGGGATTGGCCGGGTGGTAAGATACCACACCGCATGAAGGACGTCAGTGGCATGGACACGGTTGTGATCTGAAGGAAGAACAGAAAATAGCGCTTCACTGGAATTGTTTCCAACCGTTCTCAGCTTCACAAGACCCAAATCTTCACTGTGCTCCAATTTGAGAAATACTGGAACAATTCTAACCCAGTTTTCAAGTTTAACTTCAAACAAGATTTTTTTTTATTCTCACAGGGGATGTCACGATAGCCGTTCTCCAGAGCGCAAAAGTACGTCATGAATTCCCGCACAGGGATTTTGAAGATTTCGAACAGACCCGTGTCCTGGAACAAAGTGTACGCCACCTGAGAGAATGTAACAAACAGAACTTCATTAAGACAAGACAAGCAGTGAGCCATTGAGTCCCTGCAGATTCATGTTTACTTTCACGGAGTACTGAGAAGGACCACTCAGCATTACATTCAGCTAAATCTATGTATGAAATGCCAGTCACATCAGATCATAAAATAAAAGTGTGTAATTACGTGGATTTAACTAAACGGGAATGGTTTTAATTAGCTAAAAGAGAACCATGTTTTCCACCAAAGTAAAAAAAAAAAAAA